TTTGAAAATGTTCCGGAAATACTGCGTCCTTTAAACATATATAAAATTAAAGCTTATTTTATGTACTACAAAATGAAAAAAAAAAATTTGTCCCGACGATCTATCTTCTATACGCAAATGGCTACCATATTGAAAAATATACTATTTTTGTATGATAATTATGGGTTTTGTATTTTATTTTAATAGAAGTTGATGTTGCTTTTGCAATTATCCATCAATTTTTTAAAATTAAACACTATCTACAGATTTGCATCGAAGCGTTTCTTATGATAGTGATTTTAATCACTGTCAGATTAAATCTATACTGGACCCTACTATGCAATGTCTCCACTATGCCGAGACCTAACTGTGCTACCCTTTTTTTTTTATTTATTACTAATAAGAAAACAAACATTATTTAGTCTTTTTCTTATAAAATATGTTGATGGGTCGATAACAATTATAAGACAAATTCATTGAGTTACAAGCATTTTTAATACATAGAATGGTATGTAGTGCGATTGGACGCAGCATGTACAGGTATACGTATACTACATCCGCGACCTATACTTAATATATGTATAAAGAGGCTTGTGACATGATATGTACTTATTTAACATTAAAATCGACTCATCAAAATGTTTTGTTGCGGTCGCATCGCATTTCCGGTGTTACCGCCGGATGGTGATCGCGGCGCTTCCTCTTCACGTACGATAGGTCACGCTATTCTCGGTGGCCGATGATATGTGAACCGACGCACATTCAATGCCCGACTCACATGACATGGCCAGAGGGATGGATGGCGCTAACATCTTCAGCACCATCGACCTGAAGTTCGGTTATTGGCAAGTAGGTTTGACACCAGCATCACACCATTCACCGCGTTTCGCACACAGATGGGCCTCTACCAATTTAAAGTAATGCCCTTCTGCTTTAAAAACGCTCCGGCTACTTTTCAACGGTTGGTGAACGAAGTTATGCGTGGATACGTTGGTAAATTCGTGTTTGTATACCTGGATGACATTGTGGTGTATTCACTGAGTATGGAGGAACATTTCAATTACCTACAACGAGTCATAGAACGGTTACAAACACACGGGTTAACTGTTCAACCAAAAAAATTTAATTTGGAGGTTTTACAGATCAATTTTCTCGAGCACATTGTTGATTCAACCGGAATTGATCGGGAACCAGAAAAGTTAATCGCAATCGCCGATTTTCCTGAACCAAAAAAGGTAAAAGATTTGAAAAGTTTCTCGGGATATGTGGTTGGTATAGTCAGTTTGTTTCAAATCATACTGAAATCATCGCTTCGTTATCAGATCTTTTGGCAAAACGAATTAAATGGCGATGGGCAGTACGGGAGCAAGAAGCATTCTACAAGCTCAAGAAAGCGCTATCTACCGCACCTAAACTCTGTTCTCCACATCAAGGAAAACCGTTTTTTCTACAAATGGACGCAAGTGAAGTAGGAGTAGGTGCTGTACTGTTCCAGCAAAAGAATAAAGGTGAGCGTAAAATTGTGTCGTACGCGAGATGTAAGCTGTCTTCCGCTCAGTCAAGGTATTCTGCCGTCGTACAAGAGTGTTTGACCATAGTGTGGGCCGTTGATCGTTTTCGCCCATACTTAGAGACCGGTATGTTTACATAACTTACCGATAGCTTGCGCTCAAATGACTACAACACACCAGGGACACCAACAGTAAGCTAACTCGTTGAGCGTTAAACTGGGTTTGTTCGACTTCAACATCCAACATGTGCTTGGAGTCGAAAACCAATCCGCAGATACGTTGTCGAGAAGCCCTGTGAATCAAGTACAGGTAAATGAGGGAAAATTGGACGAAAATTTTCATGATCCACCATCAACGGATGATTTTTCCGGAGAAGATCACATAGGGGCAATATTTGACGGAAACCAACCGGAAAATATAAGTGTTTCGGATATTAAACAGTGNACCGGAAAATATAAGTGTTTCGGATATTAAACAGTGGGAAACCGAAGACAAAAGTTTGGCCAAAAATGTTCAGACGTTCCGGGGTAAAAATACAATTCCACAGTACATTTTCGGTAAATACCACCTGAAAAACGGTATTTTACTAAAAGGACCGGAGGGGTCCGGCG